CTTGTAGATTCCTATCAGCAACTGGCATCAGTTCCTTGTCTTGTATCTTTGAGAAGTTCTTGCCTAATGCATTTTTATTTCTAAAAGGTCCAGTTCCTCACCTGCCTCGTACACTTGTATCCGTGGAAACCATCAGCACAAAGGCACTGCAAAAGGCCAGGGCCATCAGACGCACAAGACCCATTCTCAGGACACATTTCTGAGAGTAAGAGAAAAAACAGAGCCACTGGAGACTAAGGTCCCTGAGGAGCCAGCCTCCTCTGATCTCAGAAGCTCAACAGGGATGGGCCTGACTGGTACTTGTATGGAAGGCTATCACTGGATCTCATTGGGTATTTTTCTCAAATATCTGCTTAGATTCTCTTAATTATTTCTAGATCAGAAGCAGAGGAAAAAGCCAGGCATGGTGACAAACACCTAAATCCCAGCCAGCATTTTGGAGGCAGGGGCAGGGAGATCTCTGTGGGTTCTGGTGTACACAGCAAGTTCCAGATCAGAGAGACTGTCTCAGAACATAGAAACAAAAACAAAAATTGGAAGAACTGTTATAATCAGAATGTAACAACAATAACAAACGAAGCCTTTTCAGGGGAACAGAGAACTCTGGACAAAAGCCCTTTAGCATCTCTATTTCTCTAAAGTACAGAATAGCTTAACTTCAGAAAGAAGGAAAAGGATTTCCCAGTGAAGTGGCCATACTACAGCATACCTGGGCTTCCAGTGCTATTGCAAAGGTCCTTTTGCCCCTGGCAAATCTGCTTGTCCGTGAAAGAGGTAACACTGTCCCAGGCATGAACACCTCCAGGACAGGTGACATCCTGTGGTAGTATCCTGAAGACAATACACGTGTTCATGAATGCACAGCTGGAAGAGGTTAGGGTGTAGCTTGGTAGTAAAACAAACCTTCAGCAATACACAGAGCTGTGGTTCAATCCCACTCAGACACATATGGCCACTACTCGAGTGCACACACACACACACACGCACACACGTACCAGCAGTGGCAACTCTGATGTTGCTGAGCACGCAGCAGCTCACATCTCTGATTATTTCCCCCACTCTGTTTATTACTCACAGAGTCTGGAGCTGAGTAAAACCACGGAAGGTGCTCGCCAAATCATCCTTGAGAGGATTTGCTTGAAGGTCTCTGCAAAGTACACACTGTTAGTACTCTGTTTAGAAGAGCATGCTGCTGGGTGTGGTGGCGCATGCCTGTATAACCAGCAGTCTGGGAGGCAGAGGCAGGCAGATCTCTGTGAGTTCCAGGCCAGCCTGGTGTACAAAGCTAGTCCAGGACAGCCAAAGCCACACAAGAGAAACCCTGTCTCAAAAAAACAAAAAGGGGTTGGGGAATGGAGAGATGGCTCAGTGGTTAAGAGCACTGTCTGCTTTTCCAGAGGACTGAGTTCAATTCCTAGCATTATGGCTCGTAACTGTCTATAATATGATCTGATGCCCCCTTCTGGCATGCAGGTGTACATGCAGATGGAGCACTTATTTACATAAAATAAATAAATAAATCTTAAAAAAAAAAAGAGCATGCTATTATATTTTTATACACACTTTCCTGGGCTATTAGTCCAATCGCTATCCACAGACCTAAAGATTTAGGTACTATTAACCTATCTTTTAAAGAGTTATCTCTAGCTGGGCACAGTGATGCACACATGTAATTCCAGCACTCAGGGAAGCAGAGACAGGCAGATCTCTGTGAGTTCAAGGCCAGCCTGGACTACAAAGCAAGTCCAGGACAGCCAAGGCTACACAGAGAAAAAAAAAAGTTATCTCCAAAGACTTTTCCATTACCATAGTTACCTTTTGGGCAGGAAAATTCATAACCACTTACATGATAACAGCAGTAGAAGCCTGAAAAATGTTTGTACCGGGATCCTTCAGTGAACAGTTCTGGAGATCTAGCCTGAAGAAACAAAGTAATTAGTCTAACTATGCTTTTTTTTCTTTGAGACAGGGTTTCTTGTGTAGCCTTGGCTGTCCTAGACTTGCTTTGTAGATCAGGCTAGCCTCAAATGCACAGTGATCTGCCTGCCTCTGCCTCCCTGAGTGCTGGGATTAAAGGTGTGTGCCACCTACTATGCCTTTTTTCATACCCATGTAAGCTATATTGATGGAACATCATTATTTTCAGAACTATAAGAGTAAGGCTATGGTAGTAGACATTGTAATCATGTATTATCCAATCTATTTAGCGCTAGCTTCATGTAGACATTTTAATTTGCCTAAAATTCAAGTTCATTCTCACAAGCAACACTTCAGACATGTGTGAAACCATGGCTCCTGTGCTGCTCAGTACTGATATGGAGCACTTGGATCAACAGAAACTTCTTTTGGGTCACACAGTTGCAATCAGTATAGCTATGTGTGGTGCAAATATTGGAAGAAACTTTGTGGGTTTTTTTTTTCCCCCTCCATGATTAGCAGGTCTCATACTGTGATTCTCAGACTCAGAAATTTTTGTTGTTGTTGCTGGGGATTGAACCCAAAGCCTTGTGCATTTGAGGTAATCATGAAGCCATAGCCACTGCTCTACAGAAATTTTGTTTTGTTTTTTGAGACAGGGTTTCTCTGTGTAGCCCTAGCTTTCCTGGAACTCACTCTGTCGGCCAGGTTAGCATCAAACTCAGAGATCCACCTTCGTTTCTTCCACCTCTGAGTCCTGGGGTTAAAGGCCACCACACACAGCTGACTGTTTTGAGATGCGGTCTCACTCTTACAGCCCACGTTGGTCTCAACCTTGTGACCATCCTTCTGCCTCAGCTTCTCAGATGCTGGGATTAGAGACAAGAATGACAATGCTCAGCATCCCCAAGGAGATCATTTCTTTTTGAGACAAGATCTCAGAGTAACCCAAGCTAGCCTCAAATTCACTAAGTAGCTGAGGGTTCCCTTGAATGGTTGGTCCTTCCAAGTACTGAAATTATAAATGCATGCCAGGCCCAGCCACAGAGGTTATTTATTTATTTATTTTTGGTTTTTTCAGTCAGGGTTTCTCTGTTTTAGCCCTGGCTGTCCTGAACTCACTCTGTAGACCAGGCTGGCCTCAAACTCACAGAGATCTGCCTGTCTCTGCCTCTTCAAGTGCTGGGATTAAAGGCATGCACCACTGCCTGGCTGCCCTAGAGGTTTTAAACAAAAGGGAAAAAAAAGTCAAATGACTTAAGTTTTTCCAAAGCACATTTCCTATCACAGGTAACTGTAAATGACTATACATTGGAGACTTAAAGCCTTCAAGCCGGGTCATGGTGGTGGTTGTGGTGGTGGTGGTGCAAACCTTTAATCCCAGCACTTGGGAGCAGGGGTAGATGGGTGGATCTCTGAGTTTGAGACCAGCTTGGTTTACAGAATGAGTTCTAGGGCAGCCAGGGCTACACAGAAGAATCCTATCTTGAAAAACCAACCAAACAAGTACTTCCACACATTATTTTTTTTCATTTACTGAGTACCTATAGACTACAAACATTATAGCATTATATAACATGTAATTTAGCATCTGGCCTGGTATCAAAAGCCCATAATCCCAGCTACTCTGGAAGCTGAGGCAGAAGGATCACAAGTTCAAGGCTGGTGTGGGCAATTCAGTGAGATCATGTGTCAACATGGATAAACACTGAAAGGATCCAGGTGTGATGGCTCAGTCCTGTAATCCCAGAACTTAGAAGGCTGTTGCAGGATTGATACGAATTTGAGGCCATCCTGTGCTACATAGTATGAGGATAGCCAGGACTATATAATGAAACCCTGTTCCAAAGAAACAACAGAAAAGGAAAAGCTAAACTGAAAAAAGGTAGTTTACCAGCATGCACAAGGTCTTAGGTTCATTACCTAGTACCCCAAAACAATAACAAAAGATATAAAAAGTAAAAGGCTGGAGAGATGGCTTAGCAGTTAAGAGTGAGTAGTGCTCCTGCAGAGGACCTGAGTTCAGTTCCCAGCACCCATATGCGGCATCTCAGAACTACCTATCACTCTCAGATCCTGGGGCATCCAAGGTCTCTGGACATTTCCAGCACCTGCATTCAAGTGCATGTACCCGTACAGATACACAGATACACACACATACACACACACACACACACTAAAAATAAAATGAAGAAAAATTTAAGTGTATTTTAGTAAAAAAAATAATCCAAAGGCTTAATAATAAAACTATTTTAGATGATGCCACAAAAGCCTATAAAATGGCAAAAAACAAAAAAAAAACAAAAAAAAACCCTATCACTTGTCCAGAAAAAAATAGCAAAATATTGTTTACCTATCTAAAAATACTATATCAAGTTTAAACATTTCAGAATCAAGCATTAGACGCCTCCAGTTAGGTACCAATATTTATCCCCAAAACTAGTTGGGCAAGCCTGCAGACTCCAATCTGGTCTTTTTGAATATCCAAGGATGTCTTCTTCTCTCTCACCCCAAGATGGTGCCCTTTTGATTTAGACAGCATCGGGCCTGCATTAGCTTCGATGTAGCCTCACAGTAAGCAGCTACTCTGGACAAATTTTTCACATCTCCCGGACACTGGGTGCATATCTGCAGAAGAAAAAAAGAAACATTATTAAGACACGAGAAAGAAAAAAGAGAAACGAACAAAGATCAAGAGCGCCGGTGTGCTATCCAGAATTCCTATAATACAGAGCGGAAAGGTGGCTTTTATAAATAGAACCCAGTTCTTCCCTTACAACCGGGCATCGAATCAGCGCCCTGTACAAGTCCTTGCCGAGCGAAGGGCCTCATCTTTGCGAATCATTACTTGACTACAGCATACCATCTACAGAGACTCCTCCGCCTGACAGGAGTGTTCGGAAAGTGTTAAAGGGCTGCAGGTACACCACGAACCCAAGCGTCACAAAATACATTGCCATTGCACCACACACAGCATTCGTCCAATGACGGAAGAACGAAGAGACTCAGTAGTGGAAGAACACTTAGTTATTCAAAAGCAAGGTCAAATTTCAAAGGTCTCTGAATGTGGGCAGGGCTAAGGTGCCAGTGGCCAGCGCTACGTGAGTGAGTACTCAGGAGCAGGGACAGGGCTAGGGGAAGCTCCAGGGACCAACTCTGAGCTTCGGGCTGGCCGAGGGGACAACCACCGGCGGGCGAGCTCGACACAAGGCTGACGACCAGCGACCGTGTTCATCCAGATCTCAAACTTTCTTCTGTACCTCAGGTAGAGCCACGGCCCTTTCCGTGCCCAGAGCCAGGAGCAGGGCAGCAGCCCAAACTATCGGGCGCACAGAACCGCCCGGCTCCCGGGACGCCATTTTCCACTTCGAGCAACCTTGACAGCTCGCGAGAGCAGAGCGCGAGGCTCCGCCCCCAGCGCGTCCCGCCTCCGCCTTGAGGCGTGGCCCAGCCTTTGGAAGCCCGTCACTCTGGGGCGTGGCCTAATCGGCCGCCCGCAGGCGCGCGGGGCGGGGCGTAATTTGCCAGAGCCCCGGGGCGGCTGGCGGACTGGTGGGCTCGTGTCCTCGCTCGCCTTTCCCTGTTCGCGGTGGGCAGACCCACCACCTCTCCATTCTTCATGGAGCGCAGGCCTCTCCAGGCGGCGCTTTAGTTGCCTTGAGCCTACTGCAAGTTCCCTCTTCCCGGTGCCGATGCCCGGGCCGGTCCATCCGCCCTCAGTAAACATGGCGGCGCGACGACCTGGGCGGGCTGGGGGCGGGGTCCCGCTGTCAGCAAGCCGGCCGCTGCCGGCCGGACCTGCCGGCGGGCCAGCAACCCACGTGTGGCCATCTCGCAGGTGGGCCGGGAGGGGCGGGGACTGGGCAGGGGCCGAGAGGCTGGGTTTCGGCCAGCTCGGGCGGCAGAGGCGGAGCTGGGAGGGGCGGGGCGGGGTGAGGCTCGGCGTGGGTCTCGGGGACGGTCTCAAATACTAGCGCAAAGTGGTGGGTCCGCCACGTGTGGAAAGAAGAGGAAAACTGAGGCGAAAGAGGGTAAGGGTGCTGGAGGAGCGAGGATGGAGGGCGAAGGGCGAACGCCTGCAAGGAGGACACGAGCCTGGGAACCCTTCACCTTGATGTTGCGCAGCGTTCCGGGCACCGAGGTGAAGCGGGAACGACGCTTCCCTGACTCATTTTCTCTGCCTTCCCAGGAATAGAACAATGCTGGTTTCGGAAAGAACGGAGGAACTTTGGTAGTCCTGGCCGAACCGCCGACGCAAGGCAACGTAGCTCTCCCGCAGTGTCGGGAGCCCTGACTGGAAGGGGAGACCCATCACACCTAAGGGTGAGGATCCCTCAAAAACCCTCCAAAGACAAGTTGAGCTCATCACAGGTATCCTGCCTGTTTCCTTTTCACATGCTTCAGGTGTCTGCCTGGAAATCCTGAATTTACATTTTTTAATACATTTTAGTGAGAACGGCCATTCAGATCTTGAGGAATTTTAAACCCTAGACCTCGGTGGCAGTTGGCCCTGCAGGTGTTCCCTTACATTTCAAAGGGGAAGGGGGTGAGGATTTGGCCCTTCACCTAGTGTTTTCCTAGCTCATTTGGTCCCCAGTACTACAAGAAACAAGCCCACAAACCCTCAGTACTTTTTGCCCGCAGTTAAATCCAGTACAGTGTGTGACTACAGTGAGACTTTTTAAAAAGTCTCTTTTATTCGTGAAATAACTTGGCTTTCTTTTGGCTACCACTCAGAGATAGACATGTTCGTTGGTGTGAACCAGTGGAGTTTTTAGAAAGCCACTGTTCTTTTCCTAGAATTGGATCATGTGAAATGAAGGCTGCGTTACTGGATTGGCATTTTCCTGGCTGCTTAGCTCTTCTTCCTCCATCCTAGATGATTCTTGGTGCCTCACGCAGATTACTTATCAGGAAACTCCATAAGTAGAGGGACCCAGTCAGTACAGGGACCTACTGTCCCCCACCCCTTGGTGTTTTTATTTTGAGATAGGTACTCACTGTGAAGCTCTGGCTGCCTTGGAACTCATAGCCACCTGCCTCTGCCCCTTGGGTGCTAGGATTATAGGATTAGTTTATAGAGTTGTTTTTTTTTGGGGGGGGGGGTGGTTTTTGTTGTTGTTTGGTTTGGTTTTGGGGTGATGGTGCATGCCTTTACTCCCAGCACAGAAGCAGGTGGAACTCTCTGTGTAACAGCCCTGGCTGTCCTGGAACTCACTTTATAGACCATGCTAGCCTGGAACCCAGAGATCTGGCTGCCTCTGCCTCCTAGTGCTGGGGTTAAAGGTGTGTGCTGGCACCACCACCACCACCCTTCTATTCTATAGTTTTCATCATCTCATAGCAGTGACAGATTGCCAAAGTGTTGCAATATACCAAGACCTGGGGCATCTTTAGGTTAAACCAGAGTGCTCTGTTGGGATTCTTGATCTGAAGACCAGCATTTGTGACAGTAGGACATGTGACCCAGGCTTAGACCCTGTCTTTGTCCTGTGAGGTTTATAGTTCAGGTTTATTTAGTCTGTGGGAACTGCACATTGCCGGCCAGGCAATATGTGCCCGAGTGTGTCTGAATGCAGTGCAGGAGGAGATGCTCTGGTCTGGTGGGCAGGATGTGTTAATCTGTCCCTGGGTTACTTGAAATCTACACTGTTCCATGAACGACTGACTATAGTTTGCACTCTGCTCCTTTCCTAGTCTTGGGAATAGTGAGGTTGGATCACTAGTGAATTACCTCTGAAAAATCCTTTTTTACTGTTTTGCACTGTGTGTTTGTCCATGTGGGTTCTGGGATGACCAGGAGTGACAGAGCTGGAGTTACAAGTGGTTTCAAGCTAACTGATGTGGGTGCTTGGAACCAAACCTGAGCCTTCCACAGAGCAGTTAGAACTCTTTGAACCTTTGGGTCATCTCTCCAGCCCCTATAATAGATATTTTTTCTAGGTGTGGTGGTATAAGCCTTTAATCTCAGTACCTGAGTTCAAAGCCAGCATAATCTATAGTGTGAGTTCTGGGCTAGCCAAGGCTACATGGTGAGATCCTATCTAAAAAAAACAAAACAGAAAGACTCTCCACAGATTCTGTAGAGAGATGCTCTGAGACAGACTTCAACTGGAGCATCCTGTACTCTCCATGCAGGAGGTTGGGAAGGAAGATTCTACAGCAACCAACACACAAGAAAAGGAAGTTGCTTGTGTTTATACAAATTAAAGGGAGGGTGTTTGGATTTAGAAGGGCGGGGTCTCAAAGTGTAGTGACCTTTACTAGGGTAAGAACTGTAATCTATTTTGTAAGAGTCTGTTGTGCCACCCTACCTAAACTGCTATAAGCAGGGAATTTAGCACCTAGGGAAGGTAGTAGATAGGATCTAAGATGTGGCTGATTCCTCTGAAGGCAAAAATCTGAACTAGTGACAATGAGGCACTTTAGTTACTGCTCACATAGCAGGTATTCAGAGAATTTTTGTTTGGTAGTTTTTGTTGTTGGGTTTTGGGAGGGGTTTGTTTTGGGGGGGGGGGTTGTTTTTCCAAGACAGCTTTCACTGTAGCCTTGGTTGTCCTATAGACCAGGCTGTCCTGGAACTCAAAGTGATCCGATTGCCTCTGCCTCCCTCAGTGCTGGGATTATAGGGGTGTGCCATCACGCCTGGGTGTGTTCAGAGAATGTTAACTGTCATGAGTTGGCTGTTTAAATGTGTAGCATTCTCTAGTGTCTCCAGTGAGTACCTCTAGGGGATTGCTTTTGAAGACAGCTGACACACCTGGAGATTAAGATGAGGAATCCCTAGGTGTGGGTTCTAATGCTGCCTCTGACAGTTAGTTAATTAGTTAGTTGTGCTTTTAGAAGGGTTAATTGAAAGGCCAAGGAGGTAGCTCAGTAGATCAAGGGCTTGCCACCTAAGTATGAAGACCAACATTGTAGTTGCCGTAGATCTCTGTAAGCTGGCCTGGGAAACCCTTCCTGGAAAATGACTGAAGAAGATACCTGATAGCAGCCCGTAGCTTTCTCATGTTCATCTATGAATCTGCTTACAGACATACCCATAGGGAAAACAAGTAAACTTGAATGATCTGGGCCTTTGTATGCATTTGTGTAAAATGACGAGGCTGGAAGAGTGGTTTACTTTGAATAGCGTGAGCCCATCTTTGTTCTTTAAAGGGCTGTGGCATAGTCTTAGAATTATTACTTTCGTGTACATAGAGTTAGAAAAGTAACTTTCCAGTCTTCTCTTGGCAACTCCTTTCTAACTCTGTCTAGCACACAGAGTGCCAAGAACAGTTTAGGCTAGAGTCTAATCCGTCTAAGAATGCTGTTGAATGTGAGCTCTCTGCTCTCCATTCTGGAGCTTTTAGAATTTAGTCTGGGGACATAGGGTGATAAGGGCCATTTGGACACAGTTTGGTTCCCTGAGGAGCCCAAAACAAAGAGCATCTATGCTTTTCTGTGACTTCACTTTTTGCTCTCTCCTCAGCTACTTACAGAATTGGAGCCTCTACCTCTGTCCTGCTCCAGGCAGCTCTGCCTCAGTAGAGGGATTGCTTCTCCAGGTATGTCTGTTCTCAGCAGGATAAATGGGATCACTCACTCTCTGCTTGCTGTTCAACTTGTAGTTCTGACTGTCTTTTCCAGAGGTCCTGTAATCCTAACTTTGAATCTTTTGGCTGTTTTGCAGTGTCCTGTCACCTTGTCTGTCTTGCTGTTTTTAAGAATTGTTTATATATATGGGTGTTTTGCCTGCATGTATGTACCACGTTTGTACCTGATGCCACAAATGGCCTAAGAGGGCATCAGATCCCCTGGAGCTGGAGTTACAGGTGATTGGGCAACACCATGTGGATACTGGGAACAGAACCTGGGTCCTTTATAAGAGCGAGTACTCTTAACCACTGAGCACCTCTCCAGATCCTGCCTCACTTTTCAATCCTACCTCTCTGAGCAGGTCCGCTATTGACTGGTGTGTCTAACAGGAGCTGAGATACAGTGGTAGGGTTTCTCTAGTGATATTGGGGATATTAAAAAGGAGTACACCTGGGTAGTGGTGGCACATGCCTTTAACCCCAAAAGAAGAAGAATGGTTGGCCTGCTGATGTTTTGAATGGGGCTTGAGACTGTCGGGAGATGAGCTCACTAGTCAGTGAGGGGATAACACCTAAAAGAGGTGGAACTGAGGCCAAGGAGAACAGGGAAAACCCTGCTATCATTAGTCTCCATTTCTTCTCTGCTGGGCTGTGGCGCCAGGCTGGGCTCTGCTGGCTAAGTACATTGTAGTGACTGGGTCTGTGCCTGCAAATAGAAGCAGGGGATTGTATGAAGAAAATTGGCCTAGAGTTGACTTTTTATTTTATTACTTGGGTGGAGACCCAAGAAAGGTCCTGAGTTTCATAACTGCACACCCAAAGGTCCTGGCCAAGTTACTGTCTCCTTTCTGTCTCAGCTCTGCTGCTTCCTCCCTCCCTAACATCTAACAAACCTACCCCATGCCTTCTAGGCATTCACCACTGTGTTGGCTGGCTAGTCTGGCCATGACATGTCTAAAGCCTGTGGTGGGCAGCCATGATGGCAGGGTAGGCTTGACTGAGAGATGAATTCTTACAGCTCCCCCTGAACCATGTCACTGGGTGGAAGAAGCATGCTGTGGGACTGAGTCAGGAACCAGCTTGGAACCGTTTGCCTGTACCTGCTCAGTCAAGTGACAGCTCGGAGCCCAGGAGTACCAAGTCGCTGCAAAACACAGGCACAGTGAGGATGAGTGCAGGGGAGAGCACTGCAGCTCCCTTCCACACAACCTCAGACACCAACATGAGTGTTGCTACCTTTTCTGTTGTGGACTATGTGGTATTTGGCCTGTTGCTGCTTCTCTCCCTTGTCATCGGTCTCTATCATGCTTGCCGTGGCTGGGGCCGCCATACTGTCGGTGAGCTGCTGTTGGCAGACCGCAAAATGGGCTGCCTTCCTGTGGCACTGTCCCTACTGGCCACCTTCCAGTCAGCTGTGGCTATCCTGGGGGCACCAGCTGAGATCTACAGATTTGGAACCCAGTATTGGTTCTTGGGGTGCTCCTACTTCCTGGGACTACTGATCCCTGCTCACGTCTTCATCCCTGTCTTCTACCGCCTGCATCTTACCAGCGCCTATGAGGTAAGCAGGAGAGGGTGACTTCCAGACCCAGGGATGGAGAAGGGGAGAAAGTACCCAAGAGGGCTGTGACCCTGGACACTTCCACCTAAAGAGTAACTGCTTCCCGGTTATTCTCAGTTCTTCCCAGGAGGAGTTAAGGTGGGGAAGGGACAGGGGAGTGCCATGCCTAGGAGGTCTAGAATATATGCTTTGGATATTCATCTCCTTGTGTTAGTAGGCCTCTTGAGGAAAGAGGTTATATATTATTAGGGTTGGAGTCCAGAAATACCATGCCATAAAGGATATATAAATTCTTTGTGCTTCTCTCTAGTACCTGGAGCTCCGGTTTAATAAAGCAGTGCGGATCTGTGGGACTGTGACCTTCATCTTTCAGATGGTAAGTGTAAGTGGAATGTTATGGAAACAGCCTGGGACATGGGAGGGGGAGCTGAACTCAGGCCTTCAGAAGCTGTTGGAGTTTTCCCTGCTCTCCAAGTGACAGAGTTAAAATCCCTATGAGTGACAATGTGGCCAAGTCCCTGATGGCATTCTCTCCAGTGCCACTGCAGATTTAACAGTGGTATCAAGCTAGGTTTTGGGAGAAATGAAGGGAAGCCTTGGGGATACTGTCTTTCCACCTGCATGTCTTCTCCCTCACATCCTCTCCCATATCCTACAGGTGATCTACATGGGAGTTGCTCTCTATGCACCATCCTTGGCCCTCAATGCAGGTGAGGGGTCCTAGTCCTTGACTTCTGGCCTTTGCAGACTGGGAAGATGCTTTAGGAGGGGCAGAGAGGGTAGAGTACTACAAACAATGTGACCTTGAGAGAGCTGACCCATTGACTGGGCTCTTGGCTTGGTCTTTCCAGAGGTCAAAGTAGACCTGTTTAACTTCAGTTGAAAGCTGGTCAAACATTACCATGCCACACCTCAACGGGTTAGTCAGCATTTTGGTGGAGCTCTGAAAATGTTTTAGTTCATCTTTAATGACTAATTGCTTCATTTTTATGGTGGGTTTTTGTTTGTTTTTTTGAGACGAGGTCTCTGTGTAGCCCTGGCTGTCTTGGTACTTTGCTATAAACACCAGACTAAACTCCCAGAGATCGACCTGTCTCTGCCTCCCAGAATGCTGGGATTAAAGGTGTGTGGGACCACAGCCAGCTTGTCTCCATGATTTGAGCAGCTACACTTACCCTGGATGACGTTCCAAAGAGAGGAGTGTGTGACTTTTATCTGTTTACAGTGACTGGATTTGATCTATGGCTGTCAGTGCTGGCTCTAGGAATTGTCTGCAACATCTACACTGCACTGGTAATTTCAGTAATTCCTAGGGCAATGGCAGGAAGACAGGGAAAGGAAAAGAAGGGATAGCATAAAAAGAGACAAGAAATGGGTGAACTAGGGTGGGGCAGGTTGGAACAAGATAAGTGTCTGCTATGAAAAGCAGAAAGTGGGATACTCCAACAGTTTGAGGGATTGTGCAGGGGCTTTGTTAGTGGTGTAGTGTCCACCCTCTCTGGTTGATCTGACATTTTTAACACGTTTTTCCCTATAGGGTGGACTGAAGGCTGTCATCTGGACAGATGTGTTTCAAACATTGGTCATGTTCCTAGGGCAGCTGGTGGTTATCATTGTAGGCTCGGCCAGAGTTGGTGGCTTGGGGCATGTATGGGATGTGGCTTCCAAGTATAACCTCATCTCTGGAATCGAGTAAGTATGTGCTCCCCCTGGCTGATGTCTACAGCACCTAGGGGCTAAGTCTATTTCAGAGCCTGGTCTCAGGCCTTTAGTAAGCAGAGAGAAAGCTGGCAACACCAAATGGAAGAAAGGTGATGTTGAGTACCTGGATGGTGTTTATAGAAGGCCTAGATAGTGTCTTGATGCATGCCTGAGATGAGGCTAGTTTTAGAGAAATGGAACTATATCTTGACTCTCCTCATTCTGTGCCTTCTGTCATTCTTTGGCCTAGAGGTGGTGGCTCTGCTCTGTTTTTCACTGACCTGTCTTAGGAGAAAAATAGGCATCTTGGCTGTGGTAGTGACCAAGGAGTTTTGTTTTTGTTTGTTTGTTTGGTTAGTTTTTTGTTTTGTTTTTGTCTTTGTTTTGAGACAGGGGTCTCTGTGTAGCCTTGGCTGTCCTGGACTCCCTGCCTCCTCTAGTGCTGGGATTACAGGTGTGTGCCATGGAGCCTGTCTCACCAAGTAGTATTCTTATTGCAGGCTGAATCCTGACCCCTTTGTGCGTCACACATTCTGGACTCTGGCCTTTGGGGGTGTCTTCATGATGCTCTCCTTGTATGGAGTAAATCAGGCTCAGGTGCAGCGCTACCTCAGTTCCCACTCAGAGAAGGCTGCTATGCTGTGAGTGCAGGGATGGGAAGTATTGGAACAGACACTTTGGAAAGGGGTTCCCTAAAGACAGTGGGGTGGGATAGGATTCAGGGTCCCTGCGCCCTTATTAGGGACTTCCTGAAGGTTCAAGGGGGCATGTGTAAGAGTGCCATCTCTGTCTTTTGCAGCTCCTGCTATGCAGTGTTTCCCTGCCAGCAAGTGGCCCTCTGCATGAGTAGCCTCATTGGTCTGGTCATGTTTGCCTATTATAAGAAATATAATATGAGCCCCCAGCAAGAGCAGGCAGCCCCTGACCAGGTGAGATGGCCTCTCTGGCTCCTTCCTGTGCTTGTGGGAATCTGGTCTGGGTCCCTAAGCAGAGTATTTGTGTGGCTGAATTGGAAAAAAATGCGAAAATAGTTCTTTGCTGTCCTGAAGGCCCAGCTGTCTAGCATGTCAGATCCCAGTCTCCAGCGTATCTAATCAGTGCTCATCCCATTTGATGGGTGTCAACCAACTGATACCAACTCCCCACTGCTCTGTTGGAAACTGTTACATGTCTGTTCTCATCTAAGCTTCCCAATAGCCTGATTTTACAGAAGACGGGCTTGGTGAGGTAGGCAGCATGCTGACATCACACTGCTCATCAGAGGTGGCTTGCTCTTCAGAGCCCATTTTCTCACTGCTTGAGGCAGATGCCTTCGTGTCTGCCTCTCCTCTCTGATGCACCCAGGCTCTAGATTACCAAGGGTGCGTCCAGGGGCTTCACACAGAAGCAGGAGGTGACACTTTTCTGAGTGCTCTGTTTGCTTGCAGTTAGTCCTCTACTTTGTGATGGACCTCCTGAAGGATATACCAGGGCTGCCTGGGCTATTCGTTGCCTGCCTCTTCAGTGGATCCCTCAGGTACTCCCTTCTACAGCTTGCCCTAGATGTGGTGTACCTGCCCCTGCTGGAACAGTGTACCCATCTGTTTTGGATAGCAGGACACAATTTAGCCTCTCCCAAGACACACTTTTGTTTAACAATATCAGTCGTCTACTTGATCAAACCTGTACTTTCATCAGAAAAGGCTTGCCTTCATACCTTTGATGTAGCCTGGGCTATATGGACAGGGTGGTTCCTTATGCCTCTGATCCTTCTGTAACGCCCTTAGTTCTCCCTTTCTTGGCTCTCAGACCCCACAGAGCTCGTCTTTTTTCCCTCCTTTTCAGCACCATATCCTCTGCATTCAATTCATTGGCAACCGTCACAATGGAAGACCTGATTCAACCCTGGTTCCCTGAGTTGACCGACACTCGTGCCATCATGCTTTCTCGAAGCCTTGGTAGAATTGCTCTTAAGTCTTCTAAGATAACACCCTGACCATGTCATCAGCCTTCTGAGGTTATGTTTGTCCTGGGCTCAGCACATGCCTCATGCATCACTCAGCCTTCACCCATCATGTATTGCATGCAGGGAAGAGCAGGGGTATATAGGGTCTGGGTCTCTGTCTGAGAACAGCAGCAGCCCTAATGCTGGGGCTGGGGCATGAGGTAATATGTCTTTCTGGGGCTCAGAAGTGGTAGTTTGGTTGGAAGAGTGTTACCCCTCCCATTCTTGTTTATTCCTCAGTTTATTTCCTCCTGTGTTTCTCCCCAGCCTTTGCCTATGGACTGCTTTGCCTGGGAATGGCCTATATTTCCTCTCATCTGGGATCAGTGCTCCAGGTAATGACTGTGGAGAGGAGAAAGAAACTCTTGGCAGGGAATAGGGGATAGTTTGAAACAGGAAATGAAGACAGCTGTTTTGATAGGGATTTAATTATTACATTTAATCTGGGTGTAGTGGTACATACCTTTTAATCTCAGCATTTGGGAGGCAGAGTAAGCAGATGGATCTCTAAGTTCAAGGACAGTTTGCTCTACAGAGCTAGTTCTAGGACAACCTGGGCTACACAAAGACCCCTGTTTAAGCAAAAGCATTTATTCATTTCTTGTGTGCTACTTGTGTAGCACATGCTACTGCTCAGGTGGAAGTGAGAGAATACTTGTGGGAATTAGATCTTGGCTTGTACCATGTGGGTTCTGGACATTGAACTCAGGTGTGAGCCTTGACAGCAAACACCTTCATCCCCTGAGCCATCTCACCAGCCCCGTAATTTCTTAGATAGCCTTTAACTATAAACAGACTCTCAAGTGACCGAAAGCCCCAATGTCATTTCTAGAATGTTAGCCCAGAGTGTATACTCACAGCCATTCCTGCCCTGGAAGAAACCAAGAGCTGATAACTCACTGGACATTGAGGCTAGGGTCTCAGGCCTGTTTGTTCTTTTCTCTTTCCATCAACCCCAGGCGGCACTCAGCATCTTTGGCATGGTTGGAGGGCCACTGCTGGGACTCTTCTGCCTTGGAATGTTCTTTCCATGTGCCAACCCTCTTGTGAGTGACTCTTCTGGCTCCCCAGATATGCATGTGCATGGAATTGGGCTGCTGAGGCTTTCAGCAGGAGCTCTGGGGATTGGTGTGGTTGGCCTGTGACAGGAGAGTTGACTCTGTTTCTGGGCAGGGTGCCATCATAGGCCTGTTGGCTGGACTCACCATGGCCTTCTGGATTGGCATTGGGAGCATAGTGAACAGTATGAGTTCTGCCGTGGCGTCCTCTCCCATTAATGGGTCCAGCTCCTTCCTGCCCAGCAATCTGACCGTTGCCACTGTGACTACCCTGATGCCTTCCACTACCCAGTTCAAGTGAGGCAGGGTTTCCTCTCTTTCTCCTTGGGTGGTAGCTCAGTTTTGAGCAATTTCATGGGATCCTTTCTAAGGGATGGGTTACTGTGGGTCATAAGCAGGGTTAGGTTGGTGGGTGGCTCGAAGTACCTGAAGAATGCCCTGACAAAGCACTGCTTACTGTCCTTACCCTCTCATCCCAGGCCCACAGGACTGCAGCGGTTCTACTCCCTATCCTATTTATGGTACAGTGCGCACAACTCCACCACAGTCATTGTAGTGGGCCTGATTGTCAGTCTGCTTACTGGTGAGGGCGTGGGATTGCCACCCAGAAAAATGAGGGGCTGAGAGAGACTTTTCAGTCTGGGGGAGGGAGAGGGAGGACCCTGCCCTTGGGACAGAGTATCAGTAGCAGCCAGTCTTCCCTGCTGACATCAGAGTAGGCTGGAGGAGTGGGACCTTGGTACAGGGAGAACAGAATGCTTGCTGCTCTGAGGGGCCTCTGACTGACAAGCACCTTTGCCTTCAGGGGGAATGCGGGGCCGGTCCCTGAACCCCGGAACCATTTACCCTGTGTTGCCAAAGCTCCTCGCACTCCTCCCCTTATCTTGCCAGAAGCGGCTTTGCTGGAGAAGCCACAGCCAGGTGAGACCTGCTGTCACATGTCACATTCCACTGTTCTCCTTGCGCCTGCTGTGCTCACCCTTTCATCTGCTGCTCTCCCCTGGGCCTGCCTGGCTCCCTCCTGGGAAGCTCTGAAGTGGACAGTCTCACCTTTATTCCAACTGCCCTTGCCTACCCTCACCCTTATTCTTTGTGTTCCCCAGGATATTCCCGTGATCCCCAGCCTGTTCCCAGAGAAGATGAGGAATGGAGTGCTGCAGGACAGCAAAGAGAGTATGGCTGAAGATGGCCTTGTCCACCAGCCATGCAGTCCTACCTACATTGTCCAGGAGACCTCCCTGTGACCTGTGATGGGAACACAAGCCTCCAGTCTGCCCTCAGAGCATGACAGCAGCCAGAGGCTATTTTGTAGTGCCTGGATGAGTCACTACATGTGTTCTGCAGTGCTGGGGTGGACGAATTAGCCCACAGCAAAGGACCTTGATCTTTAATGTCTTTATCTCCATGGGAGCTGTTGCGTGCAAGGGTGAGAAGGTTTTTTATTATCCCTTGCCAGTCTTTTAGGATCAGGTTTGCAAGATAGAGAATTATATTATTGTGGGGAAATAAATGAATATACCAAAAAAAGGATGGCTTTTGGTTAAGTATGGCCAGGATCCTTGGGAGTGAGTAGAAACAGCATTTCATGTAACTGTTCAGTTAGCATAATTGACCAGCTCCACCACTGTTAAGCATGAAGTCCTTGGCCACCTGTTGATTCCCTCACTGTCATGTCAACCTGGATTGTCCCAACCATTGTGGGCCCTTGTGGTCACTTTTAGGTTATCTGAAATACTTAAGTCCCTTTCACTCTTACTGCCTACCTTGATTCTTGAGAGGGAGGCTTTGCTGTCGCTGGGCTCCAGAATAGACAGAAAGCCCTCTACTTTGTGTAGAGGGCAGGTGCACGTTTTCTACATCACAGACCCCAACCCTCCTCAGGTGGTACTTAAGAGACAGGGCCCTCTCCTGGCCCCTTATGCAATGCTGTCCTCTGAACTCTTATGCCAGGGCACCCTCGTGTCATTCTGTCATCTGTGCTCCTATTTCCTTTTGGATTTTTCTCCTTATGCATTTTGTTCCTAGGGAATAAAAATATCTGTTAGACCTAATGTTTGGATTTGTGTTCCTTCAAGTAACCACCCGTTCCCTGGAGAAGATAAAAATCTCTGTGTAGGTGTTTTCCTCTACTGAGGCAGAGGCCTTGTGGCCTCTAGTCTCTGCAGGTGGCTAGGAGGGGAGGGGCCAGAGTTAGGCTCATTGCTTCTTGAAGTGTCTCATCCCATCACCTGCCAACCTCAGTTGTCAACACAAGAACTGCTTTGAGATTTGCTGTTGAGGCTAAAGAGAGAATATTAACTGGAAAAATTGCACTGGCCTGTGTTGTGAAGAATACTGAAATAGCCCATGCCTCCCAGACTCAGTCTCTTTCCCTGCTTGGCCCCATCCTACCGTTCAGAGCAGCCATTTACATGTCTCAGTAGAGACACGGGGCCAGGCAGATCTGACTATGCTGTCCCATCCCCTACACAGCTCAGGCCAGGACATTATGTGTCTCAATATCCACCGCAAGTCCTGGCTAGAGAAGTAAAAGTATAGGCTAGTGAGACAGCTGTGAAGCTGTAGTTCCATGCCTGAGACAGGCTTGATAGAGAAAACTGACTCTTGAAAGTTGTCCTCTCACCCCAAGATATCCCATGGCATGTGCACATACCCATGTAATTAAAAAAAAAAAAAAAAAAAAAAAAAAAAAAAAAACATGTAGGGGACTACATCTGTGATGTCAGAACTTGGGAGGCACTAAGATCACAGGTCAGAACTTAGCTCAACAGGAACTAGGTCTCATTGTTGCCTAAGCCGGCCACAAACTCCTAGATGACATGATCCCCTTGCCTCAGCATCCCAAGTGACTGGACTGTAGATGTGTGACTTTATGCATCACTTCACTCCCTTTCTGCTGTCTTAGCCAGCATCTGGAGAAACAACGCTTATGCCCAAACAGACTGCAGTCACTTCCTGCCTTCAAAGGGCAGGAGAGGGCTCAGTGGACAAGAACTCTGGTGTTCTTGCAGAGGACTTGGATCCAGTTCCCAACACCCACGTGATGGTTCACAGCCATCTATAACTCCTAGGGGGATCTGATCTCCTTTTCTGGTCTTTATAGGTACCAGATATGCATGTCATAAATGTGCAGAAAAACACTCATGTACATAAAAAAACAAAATGTAAAAAGAAAAAGGCATGCTTTTGAGTAAGGCTCAGCAATGGAGGTATTAAGATGTAGAAAGTGGAGAGTGGGCTTCAGAGAAAGAGTGTCCCGAACAACAGGACAAGTGTGCTTAGGATATTGGCTGATACCCAAGAAAGAATAAAAAGAGAAAAGGTAAAGTTATGTTTTTGAGTTAGAATTCAGAACAGTAGTCGGGCTTAGTGGGAATCTGTAAGAGCTTCTGAGGTCTCAAAGTGCATTATCTCATTGAGGGGATAATCCTCAAGTCTCCTTAACTTGTCTTCAGGTAAATCAGCTCTTCAGAGGAAACCTCCTGGTCAGGAGATAAGACCAGTTACATTAACTCTTAAAGAAGGGGACAGTAGTATACAGCATTGTAAACAGGGCAGATTAGAATGTTATGTCTCTATTTAAGACCAGGTTCTTTTTTTATAAGCTTTATTTTTATTTTATGTGTATGAATGTACCAAATAAATGTCAGAATAGGGCATCCAATCTGAAACTGGAGTTACATATGATCCATGAAGATGTTGGGAACTCAGCCTTGTAGGAGGAGCATGTGCTCTTAACCACTGAGCCATATCAGCCCCAATACTATTCCTTTAAGCAGGAAGTAGTTTTCCCTTAGTGGACCTCAGTGTAAACCCTGACATTTCCACCTTTCTTTCATACAGCATTTTTAATCTTAAGGGGAGGGGCAATGCCAAATCAGTGACCTCCAAGCCTTCATTAAAAGGTTTAGGGTCTCCACTCTTGCAAACTTTCAGGTCTTGGAGGATGTTCAAAGAGACTTAGATGAAGCTAGATTTCTAGGGTACCATCCAAGGGAAGATCTGTGCAATGATGATAAAACCTGGATCTCATTTTAACCTCAACTCCTAGGTCCTTATTTTATTTGTTTGGTTTGGTTTGGGTTTTTTGTTTGTTTGTTTTTGTTTTTGAGGCAGGGTCTTACTATATAGCCCTGGCTGTCCTAGAACTCTGTAGACCAGGATGGCCTCAAATTCACAGAGATCTGGCTACCTCTGCTTCCCCAGTGCTGGGATTAAAGGCGTGCACCACCACACTTGGCTGGGCCTTAGTTTCTTTTAAGTTTTGATCCCTGTGTGTTTTTGTTTAGTCTTCTAGGCAAATACAGAGTAATATGTCTGAAAAGAAATGGACCAATTGTGAACTGCAGAACCTGGCACAGGATTCTGAGACAATGCAGCAGAGTCATCAAGCCTGGCTTCTAGGACTATCCTTGACACTGCTGGACAGAGGGAAACTCAGACTAAGAGGGTCCACACAGAGGTTCTCTGAGGCTCAGCAAGGCAAGACTTGTAGCTTTTGTTTGTTTGTTTGTTTGTTTTGAGGCAGGATCGCTCTCTATAGCCCTGGCCATCCTGAAACTTGCTGTTGTAGATCTGTGTGCCTCTCTCAACTCCTGGGATTAAAAGCATGCATGACTAAATTGTGCCCTGTTTTAAAACAAAAACAGAGGGAAGGAGGGAAAGGGCTATAAGGATATAAAGTGAATAAAATAAATAAATGAGAAAACAAAACAAAAAAGCTTAAGCTGTGAGGTGGTGTTGCATGCCTTTAATCCCAGCAGTTGGGAGGCAGAGGCAGGAGGATCTCTTCGAGTTTAAGGCCTGTCTAGTCTACAAAGGGAGAGCCATGGCTACACAGAGAAACCCTATCTCAAACAGTCAGACAAACAAATGGTTTCTGTAGGAGTTTCAGTGAGGATTTTTAAGTCACTGGGAATATTGCATTTAAAAGAAACTCCAGCTTATGCCCTGTCTTTGCTTCCTGGCCTCTGTGAGGTGAGCAGTTTGTTCCCATGCAAGCCTGTGCCCTGCAGCTGCCTTGCCACAGCCAAAGCAACAGGTCTTTCCTCTTATAAGATAATTAAAGTGATTTATTGCTTGAGTACATAATACAAATGTTTGTGTAGGAGCAGCATTGCTGGTAGGAGGACCCAACCTGATTAGTCTCATGATAACAAGCCAGTCAGTGAAGTCCATCAGAATCAGATGGAATTTAGCATCCTTCTCTGTTCTGTTTCTTTTAAGAAGCTTGTGGACAGCAACTGCTTTCTTGATTAAACGGTGCTGATCTAGAGAGATCCAGGACAAGGCCTTTGGACTTAGGGACTCTCAAGGTTTTATTACCAGCCACAAAATGGATTTGTGCTAAACCATATGAGTCCCTCAGGACCACAGTGATTTTGGAGGGAGTCGGCCTTTCTTGACCAGTTTGTAAATAGCAACTTCATGTCATTAGACATCAACTTCAGCCAAGTGTGGGTGCTACGTGGGTAGGGCAGAATTGACTGGGACGGGACCTTACTGGAAGCCCATGAAGGCTGCAGTCTCCCTCCACCTCCTCCTTCTCCTTCTCTTTCTCTTTCTTCTCCTCCTCTTCTTCCTTTTTCCTCCTCTTTCTCCTCCTCTTTCTTCCTTTTCCTCCTTTTTCCTCCTCCTTCTCTTTCTCCTCCTCTTTCCTTCTCCTCTTCTTCCTTCTTTTTCCTCCTCCTCCTTCTATTCTTCTGTTTTTCAACACAGGGTTTCTTTGTGTAATAGTCCTGGCCATCCTGGACTTGCTTTGTAGACCAGGTTGGCCTCAAAATGAAAGAGATCTATCTGCCTCTGCCTTCTGAGTGCTGGGATAAAAGGTGTACACCACCATGCTGGGGTTTCTCTTTCTTTTTTAAAGTTGGTTTAGCCCTGGCTGTCCTAAAACTCTCTCTGTAGACCAGACTGACCTTGACCTCAGAGATCTGCCTGCCTCTGTCTGAGTGCTGGGATTAAAGGCATGTGCCACTACTGCCTAGCCTGTATATATGTTACTATAACCAGAATTTCACTGGATATTGTATCACATACCTGTAATCTCAACATTCAGGAGTCTGGGCTATACAGTAAGAGTCTGTCTAAAAAAATAAAAAAAATTTTTTTTGAATCAGAATTCCATGGAAAAAAGTACAGTGCAGTGAAAAAACATTCTATATAAAAGAGTATTTGGGCCACATGCATTTAATCCCAGCACTCAGGGAGGCAGAAGCAGGGAGATAGCTTTGAGTTCGAGGCCAGCCTGGTCTACAAAGCAAGTCCAGGACAGCCAAGGCTATATGGAAAAATCCTGTCTCAGAAAAAAAAAAAAAAGTGGATACAAAGTCTCTGTTTAGTCCAGGCTGGCCTCAACTTGAACTCCCCTTGCCCCAGCCTCCCTGGACCTGTACATGTGCACCACCATGCCAGGTTGTAGTTAACATTTTTGGAGCTTCCTCCATCTTTCCTAGTTTCTAGTTTCTTAATAATTTAATAATAAAACCATTCTATGGATCAGAGCAAGGACACTGTGTGCTGTGACTGTGTGGCGTGGGCTAAGGTAAGACAAGTAAGACGGAAGTGAGGTCACAGTCTGGGAAGGCACCCTCACAGACTGGAAGGGATGAAGAGAAAGTGCATGCAAAGGAGTGGCTGCGGTCAGGGTGTAGTGAGAACGACATCTCTATAGTAGGAACAGGCACAGCCCAAGTGAGTAAGGTCATTCCCTGTGGAGGTAGCCTCAAGCTCCTGTCACAGCCCGTGGTGAAGAGGCTGCTCACGCAGTGGTGGCTCAGTGCAGTTTCAAGGCCTGAACAGAGCACAGATGCAAGATCCCATGATGCAGGCTTAACTACAAAGAGAGAAGCCAATAAGAAAAGTACAAGACATTTTTTTTCTATTGGAGAAAGTTATTAGATAAATGGAAAAGGAGAAAGCAAGAGCGAAGTCCAGGGCCTGGGCATGTGGTTTAGTTGCTAGAGTGCTCACCTAGTAAGCACAAGGCCCTAACACCACCATAGTTTCAGTCCTTGAAGAGCAGAGGTAGGAGGATTAGGAAGAGGTCAAC